CTTTTGAGTCAGACATTCCTAGATAAATCTATTTAATCAAATATTAGCTGTGTGATCTTTGGCAAGTTACTTAACCTCTCTGGGCCTCAGTTGTGTTTTGTGTGTGTGCCTGTGTATTTTGATTTGTGAAAGCAAGATAAATAATCCCTTCTTGATTTGTTAGGACTAAGTAAGATAATATTTAAAGTGATCAGGAGGTGCCTGGGTGGCACAGTCAGTTAAGCATCTGACTCTTGGTTTTGGCTCAGGTTGTGATCTTGGGGCCGTGAGATTGAGCCCTGTGTCAGGCTCTATGCTCAGCAGAGAGTCTGCTTGGTATTCTCTCTCTCTCTCCCTCTCCCTCTCCCTCTGCCCCTCCCCCTTGCCCCCTTCTCATGCATGCATGTGTGCTCTCTCTCTAAAATGAATAAATCTTCAAAAAAAAAAAAAAAGAAGTGATCAGCATACTAGGCAATACAGAGGAGGCATAAAGTAAATATAAATTCCTGCTACAGAGATGAGATAAAGATGTCATGTCACCCAGAGAGAGTCCACTTAGGCAGATCTTTCACAGGCAACATGACTTTGCACAAGTCCTCTCAATTTAGGCTTTGGGCCCTTAGCTTTTTCAGCTTCAGAAATTCAAGGTTTGTCAGAACACCTAGAATACATCAAATTCAAGAGACTGACTCACTAAATTTTAAGAGACCTGTGTATGAGCCAGAATGTTTATTTGCATTGAGGACTATTCATTTCCATTATTTGGAATTTTCATTTTTCCTAACCAGGGCACATCTTCTTGATATGAATAGGGACAGATTAGTGAATTGGTGGTGGCTTGAAGAGACTTAGGATCTGAATAAATGGAAGTGGTTAATCTCCACGAGCATTTCACTTATTAGGATGAAATAGTCTTTTTTATGAAAACTAGGTGAAAGAGCACTTCTCCATTACAGAACGTATTTTTCTAAAAAAATGTGATGTTTATACTCATCAGAGTCAGAGTCTCTTTCCCCTTAACAGCCTAGGGTCTGATGAACATGTATAGTTATCTGGCTTTTGCTGCCTTGGATTCCATGCTGACCCCTTCCCCTTCCGATTATAATCAGTGCCTAATGCCGTTGATAGATTTAAGCTTCTCACTGATGATTTCATGCCTCTTATGTTGCTTTGACATTATACTCAGATCTCCAAGTTCAGCTTTTTCCTAAAACACAGAAGGCATGTATTTGCTGAAATTTTGGGGGGTTCTTTTTACGGATAATTATCTCATTCCATCTCATGTATTATGTGTAAAAAATTTTCCTGTTTCAGTTTTAGAGGATCCTGATGGGAAAGGGGTGGGACAGTGCCGTGTAGTAGAAATAGTTGTCGTTATCCATTCCCAGCAGTTATTTAGTTGATTTTCCAGTGCTGCTATGTGAACACTGGGTCTGTTGAATAAGCAGACTTAACGCCTTGAGTTGAGAGTCAGGTAACTGATAACTTGTAAGGTGCCTTTCAACTATTTTATTTCCTGATTCTAAAACCTTTTATCTCCCCGTTGGATTTCTTGGCTCTAGTATCTAGATCCATTGTCTTTTCTCACACTGTTATCTTTTTAACTTATTTAGAGTTTCACATGTTTAGTGAGTTTATCTTTTTTTTTTTTTTTTTAAGATTTTACTTATTTGACAGAGAGAGACACCACGAGAGAGGGAACACAAGCAGGGGGAATGGGAGAGGGAGAAGCAGGCTTTCCCGCCGAGCAGGGAGCCCGATGCGGGGCTCGATCCCAGGACCCTGGGATCACAACCCCGGCCCAAGGCAGACGCTTAATGACTGAGCCACCCAGGCGCCCCTAGTGAGTTTATCTTTGGTTAATTTTGTTAGTTATGTTAATATGTCCTTGCTTGCCATTCTGTAGTGTTGTCATCTAAAAAAAAAAAAATCCTGAGGAAAGCTTATTATCATGAATGGTGTCCCTTTGAGAATAAATTGTAATCATTCTTTAAATCCTGCTTATACTTTGTATCATTTTTTCATTTAAGGAATTTTTTTTCGAAGTTCTTACCATTTTCATATGTATGGGAAGCTTTTTAATGGCCCAGATTTAATTTTATGTATTTTTATGTAATTATCTTTGCAGTTTTTAATGAAAATCTTCCTTTTAAAGCAATGATTTTATTGGTATTTAATGAAATTTGAGCAAGGGATGTCCACTTTGTTGTTGTTCATTCCACTGTCTTGCCAAAACTTCTTCCAATTATTTTTTTACTATTATTTGCCTAGTAATACAGAGAATCCTGTTATTATTTTAATCAGCTTCTTATGAAATCCATAAATTAAGTCAGCATTGGCCAGTGTCAGATCCCATGTTTGTTTGTTTGTTTTTTAAGATTTTATTTATTTATTTGACAGAGAGCACAAGCAGGGGGAGCGGAGGGTAGAGGGAAAAACAGACTCCCCTCTGAGCTGAGCAGGCAGCCTGATTCAGGGCTCAATCCCCGTACGCCGGGATCATGACCCGAGCCAAAGGCAGACACTTAACCAGTTAAACCACCCAGGCTCCCCTCAGATCCCATGTTCTTAACCACTCTTTGTATACCTGCTGAGGAAAAGGACAGGGATAAAGCAGCCATAGATTTCTTACATGAGACATGTTCTTAGACCAATCTTTAGTCAGGAAATTGCGAGTTGGGAGATCTCTCTAATAAATACATTCCTTCAACCCCAGGACACCTAAGAGTACAATCATGAGGTGCTTTCAGTGGGTAGAGTTAATGGGAGGCTCAGAAGGCATTGTCCCCTGAATATCTCTATTTAAACTCCCTATCCCTCCATTTAATCCTTGACTACTAAATGCTGGTCAGTTTTAGCTTCCTAGCTCCTTAGTCCACACCTTTCCCTGACTCTACCTGTAGAAGGTAGCCTTTTTTAAGGTCCAAGGCCTCAGTGATTCTTGCCTCCTGATATTCATACCTCGTTGACTCACTGTTTTCAAGACTGGAATACAGCAGGAGTGCCTGGATGGCTCAGTCAGTTGAGCATCAGACTCTTGATCTCAGCTCAGGTCCCCCCCCCCCCCCTTTTTTAATTTAATTTTATTATGTTATGTTAGTCACCATACATTACATCATTAGTTTTTGATGTAGTGTTCCATGATTCATTGTTAGTGTATAACACCCAGCGCTCCATGCATTACGTGCCGTCTTTAATACCCATCACCAGGCTAACCCATCCCCCCACCCTCCTCCCCTCTAGAACCCTCAGTTTGTTCCTCAGAGTCCACAGTCTCTCATGGTTCGTCTCCCCCTCCGATTCCCCCCCTTCATTTTTCCCTTCCTACTATTTTTTTTTTTTAACATATAATGTATTATCTGTTTCAGAGGTACAGGTCTGTGATTCATCAGTCTTACATAATTCACAGCGTTCACCATAGCACATACCCTCCCCAGTGTCCATCATCCAGCCACCTGATCCCTCTCACCCCCCACCACTCCAGCAACCCTCAGTTTGTTTCCTGAGATTAAGAATTCCTCATATCAGTGAGATCACATGATACTTGTCTTTCTCTGATTGACTTATTTCTCAGCTCAGGTCTTGATCTCAGGGTCATGAGTTCAAGCCCTGCATTGGGCTCCACGTTGGGTATGGAGAAATAAAAAAAATAAATGAAGACTAGAACACAGTAGAAGTAATGAGATGTCAGTTTTGAGATTAGGTTATGAAAAGACTATGGCTTCCATCTTGGGTGCTCTCTTTCGCTTTATCTTGGCTCCTTCGCTCTAGGGGAAGCCAGCTGCCCTGAGGCAGCCCTACAGAGGTGTCTGTGTGAGTGACCTTAGAAGCAGATCCTCTGGGGCCTGCCACAGACCTGTGAGTGAGCTTGACCGCAGCTTCTTTTCTAGTTGAGCTTTGAGGTGAACAGCTGATACAGCAGCAGCCCCTTGAAAAACCCCGAGCCAGAAGCACCTGGCTAAGCCCTCCCTGATTACTGACCCTAGAAGCTGTGAGGTAATCAGTGTTTGAGTTTTTTCAGCTGTGAAGTTTTGGGGTGATTTGTTGTACAGGAATAACTAATCCACTGCCCTTGGCTCCTCTTTCCTGCTGTGCTTTTACTGAAACCTAATCTTCTGAGTCCTTGCCTTCTCTTCAGAACCCAGTCTAGGCCCATACTGGATGATTTTCATCTGGAATTCAGCAAGGGCAAACTTACTAACCTCTCTGGACTCCAGTTTCTTTATCAGTAGAATATGGGATTGGTTGGGCCAGGTGATTTCCAGATCTTTTCCAGCCCTAAAGTTCTATGCTTTTGGATTTCCCCAGGCGCTGTCTCCAGTTTCATCAAGAAGAGTGAATATCAGAAATAACAGTTGGGGGCACCTGGGTGGCTCAGATGGTTAAGCGTCTGCCTTCGGCTCAGGTCATGATCCTGGGGTCCTAGGATCGAGTCCCGCATCGGGCTCCCTGCTCCTTGGGAGCCTGCTTCTCCCTCTGCCTCTCTCTCTCTGTCTCTCATGAATAAATAAATAAAAAAAAAAATCTTAAAAAAAAAAAAAAAAGAAATAACAGTTGGAATCAACCAAACTTTATTAACACTGGGAACCTTGCTTTCCAGGTTGACTTGGGGATAAAAGGCAACAAACAGATTAAGCCTGTGGTGACTAGCCCAAATAGCAGAACTGCATCTGTCTTGGTGAATCTTCAGAATCTCTCATCAAAACCATCAGCTTCTAGGAGCAGCTGGGTGGCTGAGTCGGTTAAGTGTCCGACTTGATCTCAGCTCAGGTCTTGATTCAGGGTTGTTGGGCTCCACACCGGGCATGGAGCCTATTTAAAAAATAAAAACAAAAGCCATCAACTTCTAGAATTTACCCCCTTTTTTCCTCATTCTTAATTGTCACTTAACTCTGGTCATACTAACCTCAGCCAGTTAGGGTAGCCCCAGGAAAATGAGAGGTAGAAGCATTACAGGGAGGAGCCCAGAGAAGTCCAGACTGAGGACAGCAGAAAAGTCAGTATGTGAAATGGCTGACTTCTCAATCCAAGATTTGTAGAAACTGATGTTTGTATATATTCCAGGCTCATTGGTTCGGATGCAGTTTGATCCCCAGCTGACCACTCCTGCCAGGACCCAGAAATCCTCCACTCTACATGTCAGGGGATCTCCTCTACTGCCCTGGGGAGAGAAGAAAGATGACTAGGCCATGCACAGGGCAAAGAGGGTAACTCTCCCAATCGTTGAGTCAAGAACTGTGGAGTTAGGGCCCGTCCAGACACTGCTGGATTTACCCAGGGATTCTGAAGATACGAGACATGGAATAGACATATGGGGAAGGGGAGAGTTCTGGAAGGTGCCTACAGGATGGATTCTTACTATACACTGATCCATCTGCCCCACTGGGAGCTTGGAACAGATCATTTCTTCACTGATGATGGGCTTGATTCCATGCAAGTTTGCTTTCTGATAGTAGTCGCTGCATGTCTGGAGATCAATAAGGGGCACCTTTAGCTCCTTCAGTATGTAAGATGGCTTCATATCTGTAAGATCAAAAAGAATCAGAGTTGTCTTAAAAAATTAGGAAGCAACTTTCAGCTAGGGATACAGATTTTATGCCTCTGGTTTTCAGGGATTTCAGCTCTGATTTTAAATATTCTGCCTCCATATCAGATGGCACTCTGCCTTCCAGTTCGGGGAAATAGCCTAAGGGCCGAGTTCCCTGGGTCTGAACAGGGCCGAAGGCATTTGCTCCCACTCAGATGCCACAAATAACAGAAAATCTTGTGATTCAGGAAAACCCAAAACAATGAATGACGCAGAATTACCTCATTTGGCCTTGGAATATATTGTTATCTTCCATAGCATATGAAGAGGTGGATCTAACATACTCCAGAGAATGAAGACCGTTGACTCAGGCATGAAGCTCTACTCTCCTCATCTGCCTTGAGACTTGCTGAGCAGCCTTACTTTTTTGAATACATCTTCATGCCTGCTTCCCCTCTCCATCTAACCACACACACTACCCGGGTGCAGAGCGAGAGCTATATTACATCTCAGACTGAGAGCTACCCTCTCTCTAAGCTCATTGTCTTGTCCTTCTCACTTTTAAGGTCTTAGCACTATTGCTAAACAAGAGCAAAAGCAGATATAAATAAGCCAAAGAGATCACAGCAGAAGTGTGAAAGCAAAGGGGGGAGGTAATAGGGTCAAGGAGACTTTGAAGTCTGTGGCATCTCAGATTAATTGCCTGGAGAGTACAATGTATCTGATGCTGGGGCTGGGATAGAGAGTAGGGGGGGAGAATGTCAGTTGAGGAAAGAGAGCTCAGAAGATCTACTTATCCTCACGTTGGTGTATTCCAGAATAGCCCCATCCAGTCACCCAGCAGGAGGTTGAGTTCTTGAGCTGGGCTGCAGATGAGGGGAGGCAGATGGGCAGGACAACTGGGGTAAAAGAAACTGGGTAGGCCAGTTTTGCCACAGCGATGGCGCTAGTTGTGTTTCTCTGGAAGTGAGGATAGAGGATAATCCTGGACACAGGGATTATTGTCGTTTTGGAGCCGGGGTGACCAGAGATCTGAAGTGACCCCACCAACACATTGTATTTTCTGGTGTCCTTAGACCTGAGAAGAGAAGCAGAGTGGGGGACCATGGGTTTCTCGTGACTCTGTCATGGATTGTCACAGCAGAGCCCATAGTTCTGGAGGTTGCATTTTTTTCTCTGACTCTTCTTAAGCATTGTTCCTTCACTAAGTATTGAGCATTTCCTGAGAGTACAAATGAGACTTAGACGTGATCTGGCCCTCAGAGGGCTGTTGGATTGTGTGCGTGCATGTGCATCCTTGTGCACACCACGAATGTGAGAGAGAGGGGAGGGAAAGAAGACAGACGAGCAACAGACAATTTAACAAGTACAGCATTTTAAACTGTGATAAATACTATGATAAAAACAGGATTTTAAGTTAGAGAGTAAGGGATAGGGGAAGAGTCTTTGGATTGGGCAATCAGGTACTCAATTCAAGTACCTTTGAAGATTGAGACCAATCTTCAAAGGTCTCATTGAAGAGAGAAGTTCTCAACAGAGGCCCACAAGAGACAGCCATGAGAAGAGCTATCAGGAAAAGCATTTGAGATAGAGGGAATAGACTATGCAAAGGCCCAGACGGTGAGAAAGAACTTGGCAGTTTCTAGGAATCAAAATAAACCTGTAGTAGAATGACATGAGGTTGGAAAAATGAGCAGATATCTGGTGATCTACAGCTTATAGGCCACAGTGAGGCATCTGGTTTTTAGTCTTAGTTGCCTGGGCAGCCACTGAAGGATTTGAAGGAGGGAGTGACATGACTTTTTGTCAGAGGGAGCCTCTGACTTTTTGAAAAATCACTTTGTTATGTATATGAATCAAGTAGCAAAACGTGTTATACTAAGCAGTGGTCTGAGGACAGCTATGCTTGAGTCGAAGTATATTTTGGAAGTAAAACTGACAGAATTGGCACATGGAGGGTGAGGGAGAGTGGGCTTCACATTTCTGAGTATGGCCTGAGCAGCTGGTTATGTTGTTGAATGAGATAGAGAAGACAGAAGTCGGTTGGGGAATGGTGGTGGTGGCGAAATTGTAGCTCTGTTTTGAACACGTGACCTTGAAGGTACCAGTGAGGCTTCCCGATGGAAACACAGCAGAACTAGAGTTTGGGGGCAGTGATGTAAATGTGGGTGTTATCAGCAAATATATGACATTGTAAACCATAGGAGAGGATGAGGTCACCTGGGGAAAGTAAAGATGCATCCAGAGTGGTGTGAAGATGTGGCATGCTGGAAAGGGGGGATCCCTCCCCGGGGAATATCTCCTTTGGGTAGAGACTGAGTTGGGGGCACAGGGAATAACTGCTTTTAGGCATTCATTTCAGCCAAGGCGGTTGTCAAATATGAAGATGCTTGAAATCTTAAGAGTAGTTGCATTGACTTGAGAGCCAGGGCAGGAAACCTTTGGACCCACTTCTAGGGCACAGTGTACTCTACTGGGCAGTGCAAGGTAATTTCCCGTCTGACCTGTCACCCAAGTCCCCGGACGGATCTCCCCGAAGCAAGGCCCGCACTCACCGGAAGCAGCTTGCCACTGTCAGCACCCACTGCTGTGAGATGAGAGTGGCTGCACAGATGTGAAGCAAGCCCTGGCGGATGCTGACCTGCCAGGGCCACTGGCCCACGTTGGCCTCCCTGCCTGAGGCAATGCCAGATGAGACGGCGGGCCGCCCACAGACTGCCGGCAGAGAGGAGAAAGGCATGGGAGATCTGCCCAGAAACCTACCCCTCCGCCCCCACCCCTCCATGCTCCTTTCCCAAACTGGTGTCCTCTCTTCAGCTGGGCACAAATTCCCCTCACTTGGTCCACCCAGTCATGCTGCCCTGGCTGGGGCATCTTACTTGACTTCAGGAGATTCTCTGGTTCCTCCTCATTGGTGCCTAGGGAGAGAAAAGGGGGTATGTGGGAGACACCTGTGATGAATTCTTGTTGCCATAGGAGGCCCACAGCCCATGCCCTGTGCAGCTTCTCCTGGGCTGGAGCCCCTACCCCCGCCTCGGACTCTCCTCACCCCGGGAACACACCTGAGATCCCCAGCAGAAGGGGCAGCAAGAAGATACAACCAGCAGGGCCCATGTCTTTTTCCTCAGAATCAGCACTTCCTTCTTTCTGGACTTAGCCTCCCAGGGAGAGGCCAGCTGGGGAGCAGCCGGAGAAGGGGGGCAGGACCAGCTTCTCCTGGATGGATGCGTCTGCTTCACCCCCTCCTCTCCTTTGGTTTTCACACAGGCCAGGCACTGAAGGGACCAGACTTCAAAAGTGCAGCTTCAGGACCCAGGGGGAGGAGCTGGGACCCGAGGCGCCCCCTGCTGTGCAGGAGAGCAGGATGTCTGGGGTTCTGCCAGTAGGAGGAGGGGCAAGTTGGGCGTGGGCACTGGAAGGAGCTGGGCTCAGTCAGTGCAGTGAACCTGGTGTGGGGCAAGGCCAGGCTCACAGTGCCCCCTCTGTCCAGCCTGCCACATCTCAGGGACTTGCCCTAGTTTCTGTCATGTAGTTACTCCCTGGCCGAAGGTGAACCAACCTGGGGCAGATCCCTGAGCTTGGCTCCCAAAGGGCGGTGCCCTAAGTCCTTGGCCTCTTGACCAGTTACAGAATTGACAGAAGAAAATAAAGAAGAGGAAATAAACCAGTCAGTTAGCTGACCAGTATTTCTTGCTGTCTCTTTCCCCTTTTTGTGTCAGTCTCTACCTGTTGTAATTTGTCCTTTGCCTTCCTAAGTCAGCAAATATTTATTAGATCTTTATCATGTACAAGGTATTGTGCCAAATGTGGCAGAATTTATAAGGAAGCATGGATTATGGGGGCTGCCTACCTTCAAGTTGTTGGCAATCTAGTTGGAGAGAAATAGAATAAGGAAATAACTCAGGATGTTTTTTGTTAATAATTGGTCTCCTGTTCATTAAAAAAAGGGAGCAGGTGCTTCTGAAATCTGAATGAACTTGGATACAGCACATAACCTAAGTGTGCTAAGCAAATGCTGGTTGCGATTTTTTTTTCTTTTCTTTTTTTTTAAAGATTTTATTTATTTATTTGAGAGAGAGAGAGAATGAGAGAGAGAGAGAGCATGAGGGGGGGAGGGTCAGAGGGAGAAGCAGACTCCCCGCTGAGCAGGGAGCCTGATGTGGGACTCGATCCCGGGACTCCAGGATCATGACCTGAGCCGAAGGCAGTCGCTTAACCAACTGAGCCACCCAGGCGCCCTGGTTGCTATTTTTAAAACCATGATGAGGATGATGATGATGACAATGACACAGTTACTTAGATTCTTTAATTCCAGAGCTGTGCTTGGCACAGGAGGGCATATTGGGTACAATAAAAATGAGTGGGATTAGAAGGCCTATAGAAATGGCCGGGGGGGGGGGAATTATACTTCTAAAAATCAAGAATGGGATTATTAAAATCGAGAATTAATTTAACTTGAAACTTTCTAGAGATGAAAGCAGAAAAGAAAAAGGTTGAGCTGCATAGCTCACATCATCTGAAGCATACTAATAAGCATAATCAAACTCTCTAGTCAGGAGGTAACTTTTTCCTCCTTGGCAATAAATTCAATGAGTTTGTTATCATATTATAAAAAGTGCAGGGGTTAATGTAACAAGTTTTCTAGAGGACTGAGAAACATACCTTGGTTTTTATATTCTCTTAATACATGCTAATGCCATCATTCTGAGTCATGATTAAGGCATTTCTGTGAAGAACTAAACAAGTATTTATATTTCTTGTTATGTAACTTGAAACAAAAGTAGAATTTAGAGAAGATGCCTCTTTCCTCTTTCAAGTACCAGTTTTTCCAGCTGTGCTTTGGTGAGGTCTGTATTTTCTGGATACCCTTCGGACTGTCTTAATATTTTATTGACATTTTATTTTCTTGACTAAGTAACCAGCTTGTATTTCTGCCTCTATGAGAGCCTGTCTCAGCTTTGTTTGGTTAGGGGCTGCAGGAAGGCAGGTGAGGAGGACAAGGACAATTTCAGAACCCAAGAAAAGTACCAAAGATTTCAACATATGCAGTCTCATCTCCCCTATTTAGAAGGGAATGGAAAGGTCTGCCCCTCCCCCACCCCAGACAGAAGCCCCAGACATCCTCTCTCCCTGGACAGCAGAGGGTGCTTCAGGCCCCAGCTCCCCCTGGGTCTTGCAGCCATACTTCTGAGGTCTTCTGGTCCTTCAGTGCCTGGCCCTGGGTGAAATGGATAGAAAGCAAAGATTATTTCAGCCAGAATGCCCAGAAGTTAGATACTGTGTATTAGGATACTAATCTGTATAATTAATAATGTAGATAAATTACAAACTCTGGAGAGAGAAGGACAGTTTAAAGTCTTTGTTATAATTCAGGTGGTTCTTCTAGTTTACAAAGAGAATAAACTTTTTTTGTGTAGAAATGTTACATTGATTTCTGAATAGTTTAGCATGTGATCAGTTACAGAAGCTTTACAGTATTTTACATTTGCAGAACATTTTCCTCCACACAGTGACTGTGAGGGTTTTCATTTCTATTTTATAGATGAGGAAACTGAGGACCTTGGAGGTTAAATGACTTAACTAGTTGTATTACTGTGCACTAGCAAAACTGGGAATTGCTTCTATTTCCTAGTCTACTATGGTAGTCCCCCTCCTTATCCCTGGGGGATATATTCTGAGACCCCCAGTGGAGGCCTGGAACCACAGATAGTACCAAACCCTAAGTATACTGTTTTTCCTATACATACATTCCTAGGATAAAGTTTAGTTTATAAGTTAGGTACAGTAGGAGATTACCCATAATGCCTAATAATAAATAGAACAATTATAACACTATGCTATAATAAAAGTTATGTGAATGTGGCCTCTCTCTCTCAAAATATCTTACTGTGATGCTGGGAGATGATAAAATGCCTGTGTGATTAGGTAAAGTGAGGTGATTAAGGTAGGCGTTGTGACCCAGTGCGTTAGGCTAGTACAGACCTTCTGATGATACCTGCTGCTCGGGACCACGGTGGACCAGGGGTACCTGA